TACATTACTTGCTGTACTGCTCTTGTAACATCACAAGGTAATGTGCCATTGAAAAGGATACAATGGCCTGACTCATACCGGTCGTTTATCACCCTCTTCTCAATAGTTTTCCTACAACTTGACACAAATGGAGCAATGAGATCTTCTCCAAACTTCTTAACTGTTTAATTATTGATAGTGATGAAACATAAATAAGGCAATCTAGCTATTTAAAGTGATGTAATTGCCATGGCTCAGATTTAGCACTTTGGATGTAATTGCAGGCCTGTGTTTGGAAGTGTGGGTGGTTTTATCGCCTAATGTTATGGGTACAAAATCGTCAACATTTTATATTTGGTGGACACTTACATATTTAGGCAATTGTTTCCCAAATTAAATTATACAGTAATGCAATGAATGCAACCGAATGCATTCAAAATCAATCTTATGCCTATCACAATTGTTAAAGAGTGACTGAATCAAAAAAACAACTTCTCTGTTTGAAAACTGCCTATGTGGCATCAATTTGAGTCAGAAACATATATTCCAGTGTCAAAATTGACTACAGGATAATTTTGGTCATAAAGTCAATATCGTCCAAAACTGAGATTTGCGAGATGGAACCTAGGATAAGTAACAGTTTTCCTTGGGTTGGGTTTATTTCAATCCTGCCCACATGCCCACAGCTGGCAGCACTCGAGTAATCATCAATTCAGAGCCCAGCTGCACGCGACCCGATCGTAATGCCCAACACAACGTGGGTGCGGAACTTACACTGACAGTGGTAAATTTGGTATGACTAGTTAGGGACTATCAGTAAAATGCACAATGTACATGGGACAATATTTGTTCATATCAATAGATCCACATTTCAATAACTTAACCTCAAACCAACTATACAGTGCATTCGGAAAGTATTCAGACCCCTTGACTTTTTCCACATTTTGTTACGTTACAGCCTTATTCTAAAATTGATTAAATCGTTTTTTTTTTCATTCTACATGCAATAACCCATTATGACAAAGCAAAAACACTGAAATATTACATTTACATAAGTATTCCGACCCTTTACTCAGTACGTTGTTGAAGCACCTTTGGCAGCAATTACAGCCTTGAGTCTTCTTGGGTATGACGCTACAAGCTTGGCACACTTCTCTGCAGATCCTCTCAAGCTCTGTCAGGTTGGATGGAGAACGTTGCTGCACAGCTATTTTCAGGTCTCTCCAGAGATGTTCAATCGGGTTCAAGTCCGGGCTCTTGCTGGGCCACTCAAGGACATTCAGAGACTTGTCCCGAAGCCACTCCTGCGTTGTCTTGGCTGTGTGCTTAGGGTCGTTGTCCTGTTGGAAGGTGAACCTTCGCCCCAGTCGGAGGTCCTGAGCGCTCTGGAGCAGGTTTTCATCAAGGATCTCTCTGTACTTTGCTCCGTTCATCTTTCCCTCGATCCTGACTAGTCCCCCAGTCCCTGCCGCTGAAAAACATCCCCACAACATGATGTTGCCACCACCATGCTTCACCCTAGGGATGGTGCCAGGTTTCCTCCAGACGTGACACTTGGCATTCAGGCCAAAGAGTTCAATCTTGGTTCATCACACAGAGAATCTTGTTTCTCATGGTCTGAGAGTCCTTTAGGTGCCTTTTGGCAAACTCCAAGCGGGCTGTCATGTGCCTTTTACTGAGGAGTGGTTCAATTTGGCCACTCTGGAGCTCTGTCAGAGTGACCATCGGATTGTTGGTCACCTCCCTGACCAAGGCCCTTCTACCCCGATTGCTGAGTTTGGCCAGGCGGCCAGCTCTAGGAAGAGTCTTGGTGGTTCCAAACTGCTTCCATCTAAGAATGATGGAGGCCACTGTGTTCTTGGGGACCTTCAATGCTGCAGAAATGTTTTGGTACCCTTCCCCAGATCTGTGCCTCGAAACAATCCTGTCTCGGAGCTCTACGGACAATTCCTTAGACAATTTAAGTTTCTACCATTTCCCTTTTTTGGGGGGTGACCAAAATGTGCAATCCGCACTCTGACCTGCGAAATGCAGCAATACGCAACAGAGCGTCTAGTCTGCTGGAAAGCCACAGAAGAAGAAGTTGTTGTCTAGCTTCCTAGCTACTAGGCTAGGCTACTTCCAGACACAAGACCAGGTTAGACTGGTTCAAGTTATTTAGAAGGGTGTGTGACTGTAACTGTGTAGCCTATACTGTTTTGGCAGAGTGAATGTACATAAGCTTCCCACATGCAAACACACACACAAGTAACCTAGTCTCAGAGCATTTAGTATTATTCTGTACGTAAATCCGAGATTCTCAATTTAGTATGATATGTTACATTTGGCATGGTTACATAAGACAGATGGTTACATAAGGCAAAAACAAAAGGATGGTAGGTGGGCATATAACAATAATTAATCTTATCATAGACAACTTTAGCATTTTAGCTAATTAGCAACCTTTTAGCTACTTACTACTTTTTAGCTACTTTGCATGTTAGCTAACCCTAACCTTAACCCTTTTAGCTAACCCTTCCCCTAACCATTTAACCAAACTCCTAAACTTAACACTAACCTTCACCCTAACCCCGCTAACATTAGCGAGCTAGTTAGAATTCTTAACATATCATTTTTTTATTTTGTTTAACCTTTATTTAACTAGGCAAGTCAGTTAAGAACAAATTCTTATTTACAATGACGGCCTACACCGGCCAAACCCGGACAACGCTGGGCCAATTGTGCGCTGCCCTATGGGACTCCCAATCACGGCCGGTTGTGATATAGCCTGGAATCGAACCAGGGGGTTTGTATCTCAAGCACTGAGATGCAGTGCCTTAGACCGCTGCGCCACTCGGGAGCAAACATATGGTACGTTTTGCAAATTAGTGACATCAAATCAAATTATATTGGTCACATACACATATTTAGCAGATGTTATTGCAGGTGTAGCGAAATGCTTGTGTTCCTAGCGCCAACAGTGCAGTAGTATCTAACGATTCGCAACAATACACACAAATCTAAAAGTAAAAGAATGTAATTAAGAAATATATAAATATTAGGACGAGCAATGTCTGAGTGGCATTGACAAAAAATACAGTAGAATACAGTATATATATATATATATGAAATGAGTAAAACAGTATGTAAACATTATTAAAGTGACTAGTGTTCCATTTCAAGTGACCAGTGATTCCATGTCTATGTACATAGGGCAGCAGCCTCTAAGGTGCAGGGTTGAGTAACCGGGTGGTAGCTGGCTAGTGATGGCTATTTAATAGTCTGATGGCCTTGAGATAGAAGCTGTTTTTCAGTCTCTTGGTCCCAGCTTTAATGCGCCTGTACTGGCCATTTCAGATTGTCAGTGATGTGTACGCCGAGGAACTTGAAGCTTTTTTACCTTCTCCACTGCGGTCCCATCGATGTGAATAGGGGCGTGCTCTCTCTGTTGTCTCCTGAAGTCCACGATCAGCTCCTTCGTTTTGTTGACGTTGAGGGAAAGGTTATTTTCCTGGCACCACTCTGCCAGGGCCCTCACCTCCTCCCTGTAGGTTGTCTCGTCATTGTTGGTAATCAGGCCTACTACTGTTGTGTCATCTGCAAACGTAATGATTGAGTTGGAGGCGTGCGTGGCCACGCAGTCATGGGTGAACAGGGAGTACAAGAGGGGGCTGAGCACGCACACTTGTGGGGCCCCTGTGTTGAGGATCAGCGTAGTGGAGGTGTTGTTTCCCACCTTCACCACCTGGGGGTGGCCCATCAGGAAGTCCAGGACCCAATTGCACAGGGCGGGGTTCAGACCCAGGGCCCCGAGCTTAATGATGAGCTTGGAGGGTACTATGGTGTTGAAGGCTGAGCTATAGTCAATGAACAGCATTCTTACATAGGTATTCCTCTTGTCCAGATGGGATAGGGCAGTGTGCAGTGCAATGGCGTTTGCATCATCTGTGGATCTATTGGGGCGGACATATAATACGAATTGTAATTCGTAACATATCATACGAATTGGGTGATGGACATCCACAAATTAATACATACCATACGAAACGTAACATATCATACTAAATGGAGTGTCTCGGATGAAATGTTCTGAGAGCAGGTTGCAACAAGAGACACACATCAATGCAGGCCTCCAAGACCCAAATATTCTTCTCAGTGGCAAACTGAGGCTAAATAAGGGGGTTCATTACATTATTTCGCAAAAAAATATATATATTTTGTATCTAGTTAGTTAGTGTAGTCTACTTGCATTTATTAGATATTGAGAAAGAATGAAACTCACCCTACAGTTCTACCACAGAGTAAAACAAATAATGTATACTCTATTTGGTAGATTGATAGCTACAGCAGTTTACCCGTAGGAACTGTTCTACGTGAATTTATTGCTTATCAGGCGGGACGAATTTCGCAGGTGCACTGAATGAACTTTCACCCCCACAAACGGCTTCATTGTTTTCATTCAGCTAGCGTTGGATTGCATATTTATGTGCTAAGAGACCACCCGATTGATAGCTTCCATAGGAACTCGATGCAGCCGTAGTTGAGTGATGCCTATGTAGCTAGACGGAACAGTTGTTCCGGGCGAAAGACGACCAAAAACAATGACAATGTTGTCTCTGGAGTCTGGTACGATAGCCTAGCTAGTGAGCTGGCTAACCTGACCGTTAGCAACAACAACATGGGAACGCTATTACAACGGATCTGATCAATCACTTGTCAATTAACGTTAATGAGTACAGAAATATTCACGCGTACTTACACTTTGCTGGCATTTTAAAAAGGTATGTTGATTCGCCAGCTAACTTAACTAGCTACTAAAGTCAGTTCCTTGGTTAGGTCAGCTGTTCCAGCAATCAATGTTGGATGCTCTTACAATGATCGATGGCATTGGTTAGCTAAAAGGAACTGCTAAATAATAAGTTATGTGAATATGTTGTCATGTTTTTCTGTCATCTGTCTGCCAATTGATAATATTTCATCATGTGTTGTGATGGATACAGTTGGATTAACGTTATTTCACCTGAAACCGTCACTACCTTCCAATGGGCGAGGAAAAGCCAGAGACGTTGGACTTCGTCAAAGACTTCCAAGAGTATCTCAGCCAGCAGACTCAACATGTGAACATGATCTCAGGCTCCGTCAGTGGCGTCAAAGAGGTGGACGATTTACCAGCAGGTAGGCCTAGCCAAGAATGTCCAAGGAACTCGGTTATTTTCAGAGGTAGACTGGCTCTGGCATTCAAAACAGCCAAATACTCCATAAAAAATTTAATTTGCGATACGGTTCTAGAAACATAAAGCCCTTTACCTTCATATCACATCCTGGCTTTATCACAGTTGCAGCCAACAGTATTTTTCAGTTTTAACATATTTCTGGCGGCCTTCCGTTACACACACAGGTGTTCAGAGCATGCTAGCCTAGATAGCTAATTAGCACAGATGGTCACCTCTGTCTTCTGTAAACACGCTCTGTAACATGGACATATGGCTGTGTGGGAACCTTAACCCTATAAAGGTGTGTAGTAATTCAACTATTTTTTTATTACTATTATTTCTCGCTGATATGACAGATACGTTCCTTATGTTTCCAAAACTGTACCGTACGTTCAGACCGAGCATTGGAACTCTTAACAAAAATTCCCCGGGAAGAAGATACCTTCATCAATAGGTGCTAAAGGTAGTTAGCGTCTATGAATGGGGTAAGGTAGGCCTAACTATGGCACCCAACACGCAGACCATAATTTGACTGTCAACAGACTCTTGCCCTTGTCCTCCAGTTATACAGACGCAAACTGTTTTATCCAAACTGTTTCATCGATGACTCTTATCATTCTAAAACCCATTAATGCGAGTGAGTGTAATTATTTCTCTATAATAGATATTTCCCTTGAACCTGTCTGTTATGATTATTCCTGTACCTGTGCAGACTGCAGTCAGAATGGGATGGACCACCCCTCAGCGGATATGTCCCTTGACGACGGCTCAGGGATGCTGGTGGATGGCTTCGAGAGAACATATGATGGCAAACTCAAGTGCCGTTACTGTAACTATGCCACCAGAGGCACAGCACGACTCATTGAGCACATCCGCATTCATACAGGTGAGCTTGAATGGCCCCGTAAACACCATGCACATGCTACCAGGTGATATAGGACTAGATTCATCACTAGCTGAGCATTTTCCCTTATAGAAAGCTTGCACCCTTTATTTTCATTAGGCCTAGTTAGAGTAATCAAAGACAAAAAGCTAAAAACATTAACATTTCATCCTAAGACCTAATTCTTCCTTGTAATTCTTTCTCCCTCTTTCCTCTTTTCAAACAGGAGAGAAACCCCACAGATGTCACCTGTGCCCCTTCGCCTCCGCCTATTTGCGCCACCTAGAGGCCCACATGCGCTCCCACACGGGAGAGAAGCCTTACAAGTGTGAGCTGTGCTCCTTCCGCTGCAGTGACCGCAGCAACCTGTCACACCACCGCCGCCGCCGGCACAAGCTCTTACCAATGAAGGGCGCTCGCTCCTCTCTCTCCCACAAGAAGATGCTGAGCGTCTTGCAGAAGAAGACCAGCCTGGGCTACGGTCGCCGGCTCCTCATCAACTTCAGCCCCCCCTCCATGGTGGTGCACAAGGCTGAGCACCTGGATGATTACTCCCATGAGCTGCCCCACCTGCGCCAGGAGACCTACGACGACCAGGGTGCTGGTGGAGATGGTAGCTCAATGGACGAACACCACAATCATCACCACAACTTGGTCATGGACAACCCCCTTAACCAACTCTCCACCCTGGCCGGCCAGCTGGCCAGCCTGCCCTCAGAGGCTGAAGGCCAGACCCAGCAGCCTCCCATGTCTCCAGGTGCAGAGTCCTGTGTGGACGAGAAGCCCTTCCTCATCCAGCAGCCTCACCCAGCCACAGCTCCTGCTGCTGTGTCAGCCAGCGCTGCCCACGCCTCTTCCTCCCCCATCACCCCAGAGCCCAGGCCCCCACCACCCAGCAACTGCAGCCCCGGGGCAGGTCCCTGCAGCGAGCACAGTGGGCGCACCAGTACTCCCAGCATCACCAACAGCCAGCCCAGCACACCAGCCCCGGGCCTGCCCTCTCTGCATCAAGACCCCCAGATGCTGCACCACTGCCAGCATTGTGACATCTACTTCCCTGACAACATCCTGTACACCATCCACATGGGCTGCCACGGCTACGAGAACCCCTTCCAGTGCAACATCTGTGGCCACAGGTGCAGGAGCAAGTACGACTTTGCCTGCCATTTTGCCAGGGGGCAGCATAAGCAGTGACTTGGTGCCGGGTCAGTGATGAAGGACTAGAGATGATGAATGGAGGTTGTTTTTATTTAATTCAATGATGGAGATTTTATTTATTGCTGTTGAACTTTCTGAAATTGGCCTTGATGTAACCTCTGCGAATTCTGTGTAGTGAATTAGATTTTCTAGAGGGAAAATAACACGTTTGACAGTGCCCATGCGTATGTAGCTAGTGTGTAGGGATGGAGTGGTTTAGAGGGACAACTCATTTGACCAGTTTGATCATGAACATTCCTCATGTGGGTTTTTAACATGAACACTATTTTCAGCCTTACAAACATAGTTCTAGATGATGCTAAACCCTTTGTGAGAGTGCCCTTTAGTGGCTTTAACCATACCCAACTAAACCATTTATGAGTGAAAGACTGCACCATTCATGCCTCCAACAGTGCCTACGATATTCACTATCTCTTTACCTGTACTGAAATGGACACATCTGACATTTTGTGTTCGTTTTCTTCAGATTAAGATGTCCTCTTGACATTTGTGATGGATCTGTACACAGTGCCCTTCCTTAACCGCAGACAGGTAGCCCTAGCGGTTAGAGCGTTGGGCCAGTAACCGAAAGGTCGCTGGTTTGAATACCTGAGCCGACAAGGTGAAAAATCTGTCTGTGCCCTTGAGCATGGCACTTAACCCTAATTTGCTCCAGGGGCGCTGTACTACTATGGCGGACCTTGTAAAACAACACATTTCTCTGCACCTCTATGGTATATGTGACAATAATAATACAACTTTTTGCTAATTGGGTGAGAATAAAGCCTAAACTATACATCATGTTATATTCTGACCTTTAAATAGCATATGTCATTGTGAGATCCAACACCTTTACTGTCAAAGCAGTATCACCATATCTATTTTTTTCTCCTTTGTCATGTCTATTGAGTTCAGAATTGCCAAGTAGCACCAGAGATGCCATGTTTTAGCATACATGCTATGCCTTGGGATTCATTCAGTCCTGCATTAATCAAGGCATTGTATATTGTGGATCTCAATGTTTTCTTAAATATTTATTGAGTATTGTATTCTATATTTTCCAGTCTGATAGGTGTTGTCAATGACGTTGAAATTATGCTGAAGTGAAGATGACTGCCTTAGCAGGGTTGTTTTGTTTTAGATACTGTCGTGTCTGTTGCATAGCAACATTTGTGGAGAAAATAGTTATTGTTCCTAGGACTAATTGCACATCACCATGCTTACAGGCATCCAATGATGGAGGGGTTATTCAAAGGGGAAGTTCACAGAAGAAGAAAAACCTGTAAGGGAATTTGTTTAATGGGTTGTATCTTTTATAGGACAGTTGAATGTTGAAGTGTTTTGGCGGTCAAATCATTTTATGTGAGGGGAAATATTAACACATTTCTAAGTAAAGTGTTTTCTAACAGAGTTTCTTTGTCTCAGCTGTCCTCTTTCTTGGTGTCTCTGAATTAACATTGTCAGAATTTGAAATGTCACATATTTGATCTGTTTCAATGTTATCACATGGAATAAGATGTTCAGACACCAATAATTGTCTTTTGAGAATGCTTTTAATCATTTTGCTAATGTAGCAAAGACATACATGATTGTGTACAGTAGCAGTGAATATACTTCATTGCCACAGGTGAAATGAATTGATAGCATTAATGATTATAGTTTGTTGAGGCTGGTCAGCTTAGTCTTAAGCTTCCACCTTAGCCTGGAGCTCTTCCTTATCAGACACTTTCTCTGGCTTCTCCAGATCTGAGGAAATAAAGACCTGTTTATGTCTACATTGTATCTGAACCAGAGTGATAACATACATACACTGCTCAAAAAAATAAAGGGAACACTTAAACAACACAATGTAACTCCAAGGCAATCACACTTCTGTGAAATCAAACTGTCCACTTAGGAAGCAACACTGATTGACAATAAATTTCACATGCTGTTGTGCAAATGGAATAGACAACAGGTGGAAATTATAGGCAATTGGCAAGACACCACCAATAAAGAAGTGGTTCTGCAGGTGGTGACCACAGACCACTTCTCAGTTCCTATGCTTCCTGGCTGATGTTTTGGTCACTTTTGAATGCTGGCGGTGCTTTCACTCTAGTGGTAGCATGAGACGGAGTCTACAACCCACACAAGTGGCTCAGGTAGTGCAGCTCATCCAGGATGGCACATCAATGCGAGCTATGGCAAGAAGGTTTGCTGTGTCTGTCAGCGTAGTGTCCAGAGCATGGAGGCGCTACCAGGAGACAGGCCAGTACATCAGCAGACGTGGAGGAGGCCGTAGGAGGGCAACTACCCAGCAGCAGGACCGCTACCTCCGCCTTTGTGCAAGAAGGAGCAGGAGGAGCACTGCCAGAGCCCTGCAAAATGACCTCCAGCAGGCCACAAATGTGCATGTGTCTGCTCAAATGGTCAGAAACAGACTCCATGAGGGTGTATGAGGGCCCGACGTCCACAGGTGGGGGTTGTGCTTACAGCCCAACACCGTGCAGGACGTTTGGCATTTGCCAGAGAACACCAAGATTGGCAAATTCGCCACTGGCGCCCTGTGCTCTTCACAGATGAAAGCAGGTTCACACTGAGCAGACGTGACAGAGTCTGGAGACGCCGTGAAGAACGTTCTGCTGCCTGCAACATCCTCCAGCATGACCGGTTTGGCGGTGGGTCAGTCATGGTGTGGGGTGGCATTTCTTTGGGGGGCCGCACAGCCCTCCATGTGCTCGCCAGAGGTAGCCTGACTGCCATTAGGTACCGAGATGAGATCCTCAGACCCCTTGTGAGACCATATGCTGATGCGGTTGGCCCTGGGTTCCTCCTAATGCAAGACAATGCTAGACCTCATGTGGCTGGAGTGTGTCAGCAGTTCCGGCAAGAGGAAGGCATTGATGCTATGAACTGGCCCGCCCGTTCCACAGACCTGAATCCAATTGAGCACATCTGGGACATCATGTCTCGCTCCATCCACCAACGCCACGTTGCACCACAGACTGTCCAGGAGTTGGCAGATGCTTTAGTCCAGGTCTGGGAGGAGATCCCTCAGGAGACCATCCGCCACCTCATCAGGAGCATGCCCAGGCGTTGTAGGGAGGTCATACAGGCACGTGGAGGCCACACACACTACTGAGCCTCATTTTGACTTGTTTTAAGGACATTACATCAAAGTTGGATCAGCCTGTAGTGTGGTTTTCCACTTTAATTTTGAGGGTGACTCCAAATCCAGACCTCCATGGGTTGATAAATTTGATTTCCATTGATAATTTTTGTGTGATTTTGTTGTCAGTACATTCAACTATGTAAAGAAAAAAGTATTTAATAAGATTATTTCATTCATTCAGATCTATGATGTGTTGTTTAAGTGTTCCCTTTATTTTTTTGAGCAGTGTATAATTCAGAAGAATATGACAGTGCGCCACTGCTCCTAATTGTTTGAGATTTTTCAACAGCCTAAAGCAAACATTAGCAGCAAATATTAGCCCATACAGATCTGTGCCCAGTTTAGTATGTCCCACGTATGTCTAGAGAAATCATGACATCATGGCCCTACTAGGAGTTGACTTCTGACCTTTGAGCTAGATGGGTCCTAGGACCATGGTGTGGCTCTCCTGGGAGGGTCCCTGGCCTTGTGGGTGCGGCTGCCTCGGCGGCAGCGGGAGTTGTAGTCGGTGGCCTAACAGATGGTGACCTTACACTGCAGGTACACAAACTCGCAGGAACTTGAAGGCCTGGAAGGTGAAGCAGGCGTAGCCACTGGTACCAGAGGTATAGGAGTAGTAGGTCAGGTTCCTCCTACATCTGTGGATGCATCAGAAACAAATGTTTATTTTATCAAGATCCTTGAAGAATAAGCATTTGTTGATAAGGTATAGGACCCAGAATGTTTCCTTCTCCGCAATATCTCATGGCCCTACAACAACCTCTGCAGGTCAGCAGTGCCTGTCTCTTACCCGTTGCGCACCAGGTCGTAGGATCTGGTTTGGAAGTCATGAGGGGAGGGAGAGGTCATACAGGTGTCCAGGAACAGATGTAGGCTGCTGTCTGACCTCCTCAGACGGACATGGATGTACAAGTTCTGGTTGAGGGTAATCTCGTATGGAGTCTGGGCTATCTGGGTGTAGAAGTTGCTGCTGGGAAAGAAGGCCATTGTGACATTGAATCTTCCCATGCCTGTGATGGTACTGTTACCCCCATCGTGCTTGGCCTTGTACATAATCTGGACCATGGTGTCCTGCTCCATACGACACTCAACTCGCAGCATGAAATGAGACTGGTGTGTGATCTCACCTGAGTCGGACCGGTAGGCACGGACGGCGTTGGTGTAATCTACTCTCCCATTTTCAAACTGTTTAGAGTTTGAGGCAAAAAAAAGTTATTGGACAAGAAACAGAAAGTGATTGGAAAATGTAGATGCTAGTTGATGTGACTATATCCACTGTTCATAAAATATAAAAATGATTTGCAGCACACTAGATAGAGCTCTATGTGGCTTTTTACATACCAAACATAATGTGGTAATCTCTTTGCTTTTGGTGAATTAATTTACCATTCGTTGGGTCCCACAGATGTTGATCGGGAAACTGAGCACCACCTGCTAGCTGTTGACCTGAGGTGCTGGTCATTCAGGAACAAGTTGTAGGCGTCGTAGCCCATTGAGATCAGGTAGGATCTTTGAATCACGATGTTCATGTTGTCTGAGGAGCAGTACACTCGACCTGAAACACAACAGCATAAATAAAACCAACCTGAGGCTCCTAAGCTTTAATATCTATGTCATAATACCTGAGATAAATGATCAGTGTTTGATTAACTGCACCAGATTATCACTCTCAGGCTACCTTGGTTTGGTGAGGGACCTGCTGAACATGGCCCTGAAGCCTCTGCTGACCCCTGAGTAGTCGGAGCAATGTGAACTCCATTTCAAGATCTGTCTTAATGCACATTCAGAATTATTGAAATCCATTAGATTGTTATTGAAAGGGAACTGTCAATCTGAAGCTTTCTCAAATATTTTACATTAAGATGAAACAAACCAGGGTAATCACAGGAACCATTTCTGAAGAGGAATCTTAACTCATTCCAGGTCAGTAAACGACAGGAAGGTCCTTTGGCCAGAGGGGGCTGATAGGTGCCATACACTGTAGGTGTTGTCATGGTAATATTCTGGAAAGTAGGGACTGGAGATGGAACCAGAGCCATGCAGGTTTCCTCCACAGGTGGGGCGAGTCCCTGAGACTCGGGACGAGAAATGAAACACAAAATCAATTTTAATGAATTCAAGAGTCAGACATCTCGACACCAAATGTGATTCACTATAGATATTCTACAGTAAATCACATTCAGTGTCAAGAAAGGTTTAGTTAGTTACACATTGACATCTACTTGTGTTATTCTGTCATTATACAGCTTATTGAATCCCCTTTTTTAATGGATGTTATGGGAAGTTGAAATACCTGATGTGGCTGGAATATCTGGTGTGGTGGTGGGCAGTATGCTGTGTGAAGAAAAACATAAGAATGAGGAATATCCAGACCAAACTGGAGTAAATGCAACTGTGCTTAAAGTCAGTTAGGGAGTGTGACTGGTACTACTGTATTCATTGTTCAGGTTTCATTGTTTAAAGCTACACTTCTACAGCATATTAACTGAATGTATGACTCAATATAATTTTCAGATTATCTGGTAGATATTTTACACAGGCCTACTTAGAGTGGATGGGCAACCCAAGTCTTGGCAGCAGGAATTACTATTTGTGCCCAGAATTTCTCCACATTTTTCCTATCTTTACAGTGTGCTCTTTCACAGAGAGTAGCAGGACCCATCTGATCTACTGTTTGTCTCGGACGCTTACTGCTGTAGTCATTGCAACAATTTCCATAGTATTTACAGGAGCTGGCACAGGAACAGCTTCCAAAATTGTAACCACAGTTGTACCTACAGGAAGTCCCTGCAGGACAAAATAAATGTCCTTACTAAGTTAGTTAAAATAACAACACTTGTGCAAACAAAGCTTTAAAGGTCCAATGCAGCCATTTTTATTTCAATATCAAATCATTACTGAGTAACAATTAAGTACCTACTGTGATTGTTTTCAATTAAAATGGTCAAAAAGAAAACAAAAATAGCTTCTTAGCAAAGAACAATTTCTGAAGCAACATTTTTGCTAGCTCTGACTGGGAGTGATCTGAGTGGGGAGGGGAAAACTGAAAACTAGCTGTTACTGGCCAAGAGGTTTGGAACTCTTTCTTATTGGTCTATTAACTAATTAACCACCTAGTGATGTCACCAAGCAGGCCAAAACTCCATCCAACCAAAACAGCCTCAGAAATTGCAGCCCAAATAAATGCTTCACAGAGTTCAAGTCACAGACACATCTCTACATCAACTGTTCAGAGGGGACTGTGTGAATCAGGCCTTCATGGTCGAATTGCTGCAAAGAAACCACTACTAAAGGACACCAATAAGAAGAAGAGACCTGCTTGGGCCAAGAAACACGAGCAATGGACATTAGACCGGTGGAAATGTGTCCTTTGGTCTGGAGTCCAAATTTGAGATTTTTGGTTCCAACCGCCGTGTCTTTGTGAAACGCGGTGTGGGTGAACGGATGATCTCTGCATGTGTAGTTCCCACCGTAAAGCATGGAGGAGGAGGTGTTATGGTGTGGGGGTGCTTTGCTGGTGACACTGGCTGTGATTTATTTATTTAGAATTCAAGGCAAACTTAACCAGCATGGCTACCACAGCATTCTGCGGTGATATGCCATCCCATCTGGTTTGGGCGTAGTGGGACTATAATTTGTTTTTCAACAGGACAATGACCCAACACACCTCCAGGCTGTGTAAGGGCTATTTGACCAAGAAGGAGAGTGATGGAGTGCTGCATCAGATGACCTGGCCTCCACAATCCCCCGACCTCAACCCAATTGAGATGGTTTGGGATGAGTCGGACGGCAGAGTGAAGGAAAAGCAGCCAACAAGTGCTCAGCATATGTGGGAACTCCTTCAAGACTGTTGGAAAAGCATTCCAGGTGAAGCTGGTTGAGAGAATACAAAGCGTGTGCAAAGCTGTCATCAAGGCAAACGGTGGCTATTTGAAGAATCTCAAATATAAAATATATTTTGATTTGTTTAACACTTTTTAGCATAGACAAAGAAAACCTTCCCAAGTACTAAAAATCAAAGACAACTCTTTAACATCATTGTAGTCATGACAACAGTTGCCATAGTATCAACAGGATGAGGTGCAGGATCAATCACCAACTTTAGAGCCACAGTTGTATCTACAGGAACCCTAACCTTCTGTATAGGACAGACAGCATGACCCATTACTCACAGTTACTGTAGGCTAAATCCAGTAGATTTTTCATTTGTGACCAAAGTTTAAAGCATTTGTTGTTATTTTATTTATTTTTTATTTATATTGTCATCATGTTTTACGTAGGTGACAGGTCAGTAATCTCGATGTACATCGACATTACGGAAGATAAATACCTGTGGCTGTGGCCAAAGATTAGTCTATTGTGCCCTGGCAATAACCTGTGAGAAGAAGAGGCAATAACACTGGGATGAACATTACCGTAGGCAAAGAGCACCGCCACACTGTTAATAATCAGAAACTAAAGTCTTTAACATCTCTTTCTCTACCATACCATAGTAGTCATAGCAACAGTTGCCCTGGTTTTGACAGGATGAGGTGCAGGAGCAGATCATGCCATTGGAGCCATGGTTGTCCCTACAGGAATTCTAATCTGTTGTAATAATAATAATAATAATATGCCATTTAGCAGACGCTTTTATCCAAAGCGACTTACAGTCATGCGTGCATACATTTTTGTGTATGGGTGGTCCCGGGGATCGAACCCACTACCTTGGCGTTACAAGCGCCGTGCTCTACCAGCTGAGCTACAGAGGACCACTGTTGTATAGGACAGAAAGCCCTACTCAAAGTTCCTGTAAATCCAGTTAACTTTTTATTTGTGTGACCAAAGCTTTGATACATGAACAACTCATTTGATTATTTATGATTTTTTTTTAATGTTACATTATGTTACATTTTCCAAAAAGCTTTGAAATAGGAAAAATTATTTATGTGAATTTTGTTGAACTACACTAGTTGTACAGCAAAATTCTGACACAGCTGAATAAATACCTCAGTTTGCTACAGGACTTGGAGCTGCTGTTGTGTCTGCAGGTGTGCCATAGCAGTACTCTATACAAAGTAGATAAAATGGCACAAAAGTTCACATTTTAATGGAGGAAGAGCACCCACTGTTACAATGTTATTTTCTGATTACCTGGGACTTTGCAGACTTATTTTAGAATTGAAGAGCAACCCAAGTCTTGGTGGCAGATACAGTATTTGTATTCTTACCCAGAATGTATCCACATTCTTTCCATCTTTGTAGTGTGCTTTTTCACAGAGAATATCTGAACCTTCTGATCTACTGTATTAGACTCATACTGTTGTAGCCATAGTATTGACAGGAGCTGGAGCCGGAACAGCTTCCAAAATAGTAACCACAGTTGTACCTACAGCAAGCCTGAGCTGAAGGACAGAAAGCAATTTAGAAACTATAATATCACTTGTGAGGCCAAATGTTTAAAACATGCACATTTTACTATTGATATGGTCAGCATTTTCTACACAGGTCACCAAACTATATGCTGGCAAAGCTGAAGGTTTTACAGGTTTGAGTTTTGGGGGTGAAATGCCTGTGGTTGCAGGTATTTCGGTTGGAGCATCTGTGTTGGGTTCTGCGCTTGTGCCAGGACAGTACTCTATACAAAGTAGATAAAATGGCACCGAAGGGAACATTTTAACGGAGGAAGAGCACTCACTGTTACAATATTCTAAAGTTGATCCTAATTCCCTGCTCTTACGTTGATAGTCCTGGCAACAGTCTCCCCTGTATTCACAGGAAGATGAGCAGGAGCAGTTGCCGACCTGATAACCACAGATGTATCTACAAGAACCTCCATCTACAAGAGAAACTAACAGATTAAGCATGCTTCACTGATCATAACACAGCAATTATAACAAGCTGCTAAAATGAACAGACCATTAGTACACATGTAGTGTATATCAGTATCAGTTCATGAGTAAAATAGAAAGCACTTTATATGGCCTGATGATTTGCGATATTTGCATCTATTTTCAGTTCAGGGAGAAAATACCACCTCTGACAACCTATGCAATGAATGTCTTTATGAATGTTTCCCTCATCTCAGTGCCTTACCCACTACATGATACTCTCCCTGAAATCCCTTGTATGTTGAGGAGTCGTCACTTGTGAATTGCACAGTTATTGAACTTCCAGTGGAGTAAAAAGTTGAGCTCTGTCCTCCACACAGCTTCCCCAGCAGTCGGTAGTTGGTGGAAGGGCCATCGTAGACAGAGATTACATCATACCTACAATTGAAGTCACCCTCAAGACTGTGGTCGAAGACAGGAAAGATGAATGGAATACGATGATGGTGACTAGTTTAGGCCTTTCCCATAGGCTGTTAATTGTTACATTACCTACTTTATGATACCTACTTCATGATTAACTACTTGTTGCACTAACACCCGCACTTGTCTCCTCTTACAAGCACTGATTATGCTCATTGCTACTTTATTAAAGAAAAATGTACTTACTATGACTGTGAAATGTGATTGTCTCCCCTAGCTATCTTAAACAAACTCCTTAAAACAATTCACTTCTCCTCTGTAGGCCAAAATGGCGCGCATTGTGTTTTGCGGACAGTCTATCAGCCTGTTCTAAGTAATCGTACGTCACCTTATCATAAAAATGAATTCTTTCATATGTGCTATATCATAAACTCCTTAAAACCATTTACTGACCTTCTGTAGCCCAAATGTACATGAATTTTGTTTGCGGAAAGTCATTAAATGTGTTCACTATGTGAACTGGCTACTTTATGACCACGAGCCCAGGTGGGACATTTCTCACACACTGAGTATTAAGTGATTTCTCACATTCAGCTTTCAATGACTTTATGGGTGCTATAAGGAGGTTTGAATGCATGCTTTTGGGTATATAAGCCGTCCTGTTTTGGAAATGTGGCATCGTCAAGGGGAAGGTACCACTCTTCTTGTTCTTTGCTCTGTGATAGCCTCACATGGAGCTCAAGGTAATGTATTCACTACACTGTATATGTGTTTATTGGTGTCTATCTGTATTCGTAAGTATTGTTCGTGTGTAACTATGGGTATGGTTATAGCGTTGTAGTAGCGCTTCAAGTGGCTATTTCGCTCAAAGACTTTAAATAGTTTTACTCAAATACTCGTACATTCTCGTTTCAGGTTACTGGACCACATTTGGTAAGTATTATTGATTATCTGATTTCTTCTCCTAAATAACATCCAGCAGTTGGTCCTCTTTTTTTGTTTTTTTGTGCAATTTCAATACAAATTTCAGATTTATTCCGACATTTCAGATTTACAGTGCCTATAGAAAGTCTACACCCCCCTTGGATTTCTTCACATTTTATTGTCTTACAGAGTGGGTTTAAAATGGATTTCATTGTCATTTTTTGTCAACGATCTACACAAAATACCCTGTTATGTCAAAAATTGAAGAAAAATTATATATATTTTTTAAAAGATTAATGAAAATTAAAACACTAAAATACCTTGATTAGATAAGTATTCACCCCCCGAGACAATTCATGTTAGAATCACCATTGGCAGCGCTAGAAAGACCTAGTTAATCTATAGCTGGCCCAGAACAGAGATGCACGTCTTGCTCTTCATTGTAATTAGTGGGCTAATATGAATACCATGAATGCCACTCTCTTGTCTGAGAGTTGAGGAAAGACTGACTGCGTCACTTCTTGGTTTTATAAGAAACAATGTGTTGGAAATTCAAAATTGTTTTTATAGTGAACTTACACACATCACTGACACACACACTTACCCCACCAGACATGCCACCAGGGGTCTTTTCAAAGTCCCCAGGTCCAGAACAAATTCAACGAAATGTACAGTATTATGCAGAGCCATAAGTGCATGGAACGCCCTTCCATCTTATACAGCGCAAGTGAACAGCAAACCTGGTTTCAAAAAACAAATAAAGCAACACCTCATGGCACAACGCCTCTCCCCCATGTGACCTACCTGTTGTGTTTATATATTGACATGCATGTGTAACTGATAGCTGAGCACCCAACACACACACACACACACTACATGTTAATGTTTTTAAATGTATGTAAATGGTATTTGTTGTTGTCTGTAATGTATTTTTCTGTCCCTTCTACTCCCTCTCCGGTGCTCGAGGTCACCAGTTCACTCATCATTACATACACCTGCCACCATCGTTAAGCGCACCTGCGCTTAATTATGGGACTCACCTGGACTCCATCACGTCATTGATTACCTCCCCTATATCTGTCACTCCCTCAGGTTCATTCCCCAGTCAGCATTGATGCTGTTATGTTTATCATGTCCAGACACTGTTCTTGTTTTGTTTCATGTTTATTTATTATTAAAACCAAACCCTGTACTTGCTTCTCGTCTCCCAGCGTCTGTCGTTACAGAATGCTGACTCCACAATTGGAAGCAACAGGGATTTTTCTGGTGACCTCGGGTCCGAATGCCACAGCTGAAAATAAAAAAATCCCATCACAGCCATTGAACTGTGTATCTTTTTTTAAATCACCAATGGACTCATGTTGACATCCCTCAGCAGTTCCATTCCTGTCCTGCAGCTCAATTCAGAAGGACGACTACATATTTTATGTGTCTGGGTGGTTAAATACATCATTCACAGCACAATGATTAACTTGACCATGGTTAAAGATATATTCAATGTCTGATTTGTTATTGTTACCCATCTACCAATCACTGCCCTTCTTTATGAGGCTTTCAAAAAGCTCCCTGGTCTTTGTAGTTGAATCTGTACTTGAAAATCAAGACTTGATTGAGGGACCTTACAGATGTTGTATGTATGGGGGACAGAGGAAGGGGTAGTTATTCAAAAATCATGTCAACCACTTTTATTTCACACGGAGTGAGTCCATATAACTTATGTGATTTGTTAAGCCAAATTTTACTTCTGAATAATTTTAGACTTGCCTAAACAAAGGGGATGAATACTATACAGCGAGTATATTTTAGTTATAAAAATTGTATTAATTTGTAAACGTTTGTAGAATTTTCTTATCACCTTGACATTATGGAATATTTTGTGTAGACCAATTAAATCTATTTCAATCCCACGTTGTAACACAACAAAATGTGAAAAAAGTTCAAGGGAGTTTAGATTGTCTATCGGCACTGGATTTGCACTGACCATAAGTGTGCAGAGGTTTCCTAATCAGCTATTTTGGGTGTAACCTAATGACATATCTATTTCCCACAGAAACTATCTGTCTCTGTCACCTTCCACCGTAGATGCGGAAGTGAGACATAGGCGGATGCGGTGATTGAGACGCATCCAATGCAAAAAAAACGATATCTCTAGCTTAAATTGACAGATTTTTAAGGGGATAAAAAAAATATGCTAATTAGATTTCCGCAGGGGTGGGATATCGACCTTAGGGGCTTAAGATGAATGCACTAACAGTAAGACGCTCCAGATAAGAGTGTCTGCTAAATGACTAAAATGTAAAATGTCATGATCACTGATCTGTCCCGGCAGATTAAATAAACAAATTATTGCTCAGTGGTAAGTAATTATAATTTAAGAATATTTTAAGTGTATTCACACAGATTCAAGTGTATACATAAACATTTAAGGAGCCTACTTACCTGACATAGGGGAATTCCAGCTGAACGATTTGGGTCTCCCCTGTGCGACTGTACCAAGCACAGTTTGTATAGTTAGGGAAGGTAGTTGCTGGGGTGGTTCGGGCTGGTGAACTGGCCCTTTAGTCCAAACAGGTAACCACCACATGGAGCCGCGGTGCCTGAAAAAACAAATAAAGACAACATATTTATTAAGAATGATGAGTATAATTCAGTATCTGACTGGCAGTGCTAACTGGCACAATGAGAAAAATATTACTTAACTGGAACTTTGATAAAGTAATGTGTTTTAATGAACAAGGTGATTAAACACATGGGATAGTTAATCAAAATTGTTGATAAACAGAGCAACATACAATAGACACTGCTCAGAAATGGAAAAACAGTTGGAATATCTGATATGGGGTAATCTGTAGCTGGCCAAGGTTCTGTGGGAAATAGAAATGTTGTTACGCTTCACCCAAAATGGCTGCTTTTCCTTCACTCTACCGTCCGACTCATCCCAAACCATCTCAATTGGGTTGAGGACGGGGGATTGTGGAGGCCAGGTCATCTGATGCAGCACTCCATCACTCTCCTTCTTGGTCAAATAGACCTTACACAGCCTGGAGGTGTGTTGGGTCATTGTCCTGTTGAAAAACAAATGATAGTCCCACTAAGCCCAAACCAGATGGGATGGAGAATCGCTGCAGAATGCTGTGGTAGCCATGCTGGTTAAGTGTGCCTTGAATTGTAAATAAATCACAGACAGTGTCACCAGCAAAGCACCCCCACACCATAACACCTCCTCCTCCATGCTTTACAGTGGGAACTACACATGTGGAGATCATCCGTTCACCCACACCGCGTCTCACAAAGACAAGGCGGTTGGAGCCAAAAATCTCCAATTTGGACTCCAGACCAAAGGACAAATTTCCACCGGTCTAATGTCCATTGCTCATGTTTCTTAGCCCAAGCAAGTCTCTCCTTATTATTGGTCTCCTTTAGTAGTGGTTTCTTTGTAGCAAAATCGACCATGAAGGCCGGATTCACACAGTCCCCTCTGAACAGTTGATGTAGAGATGTGTCTGTGACTTGAACTCTGTGAAGCATTTATTTGGGCTGCAATTTCTGAAGCTGGTAACTCTAATGAACTTATCCTCTGCAGCAGAGGTAATTCTGGGTCTTCCATTCCTGTGGTGGTCCTCATGAGAGCCAGTTTCATCATAGCGCTTGATGGTTTTTGCTACTGAACTTGAAGAAACTTTCAAAGTTCTTGACATTTTCAGTATTGACTGACCTTCATGTCTTAAAGTAATGATGGACTGTCGTTTCTCTTTGCTTATTTGAGCTGTTCTTGCCATAATATGGACTTCGTCTTTTACCAAATAGGGCTATCTTCTGAATACCCCCCCTACCTTGTCACAATACAACTATTGGCTAAAACGCATTAGGAAGGAAATCAATTCCAAAAACTAACTTTTAAGAAGGCACAACTGTTAATTGAAATTAATTCCAGGTGACTAACTCATGAAGCTGGGTGAGAGAATGCAGAGAGTGTGCAAAACTGTCATCAAGGCAAAGGGTGGCTTTTTGAAGAATCTCAAATATAAAATAAATTTTGATTTGTTTAACACTTTTTTGGTTACTACATGATTCCATATGTGTTATTCCATAGTTTTGATGTCTTCACTATTATTCTACAATGTAAAAAATTGAAAAAATAAAGAAAAACTTTTGACTGGTGGTGCATCTAAACATCCATGCGTAAAGATCTACCCTGTCCAGTACTGTTTTTATAAATGTGTTGTGCTATTCTTTATAGCCTATTCTGTATCTTAACCTGTTTAGTTTTTTTTGTGTGTGCATGAGGGCTTAAGTGTCATTTTTATTTATAGTGTGCATTCATTGTATTATGTACAGTGGCTTGCGAAAGTATTCACCCCCATTGGCATTTTTCTTATTTTGTTGCCTTACAACCTGGAATTAAAATTGATTTTTATTTGGATTTCATGTAATGGACATACACAAAATAGTCCAAATTGGTGAAGTGAAATTAAATAAATAACTTGTTTCAAAAAATGGGGGGGGTTATCATTGATTTACACAACAGATGCAAAATATGTTTTATTGTGAAACAAACAAGAAATAAGACAAAAAAACAGAAAACTTGAGCGTGCATAACTATTCACCCCACTGGGATTTTTGCCCATTCAAGGCAAAACTGGTCCAGCTCCTTCAAGTTGGATGGGTTCCGCTGGTGTACAGCAATCTTTAAGTCATACCACAGATTCTCAATTGGATTGAGGTATGGGCTTTGACTAGGCCATTCCAAGACATTTAAATGTTTCCCCTTAAACCACTCGAGTGTTGCTTTAGCAGTATGCTTAGGGTCATTGTCCTGCTGGAAGGTGAACCTCCGTCCCAGTCTCAAATCTCTGGAAGACTGAAACAGGTTTCCCTCAAGAATTTCCCTGTATTTAGCGCCATCCATCATTCCTTAAATTCTGACCAGTTTCCTAGTCCCTGCCGATGAAAAATATCCCCACAGCATGAGGCTGCCACCACCATGCTTCACTGTGGGGATGGTGTTCTCGGGGTGATGAGAGGTGTTGGGTTTGCCCCAGACATAGCGTTTTCCTTGATGGCCAAAAAGCTCAATTTTAGTCTCATCTGACCAGAGTACCTTCTTCCATATGTTTGGGGAGTCTCCCACAGGCTTTTGGCGAACACCAAACATGTTTGCTTATTTTTTTCTTAAAACAATGGCTTTTTTCTGCCCACTCTTCCGTAAAGCCCAGCTCTGCGGAGTGTACGGCTTAAAGTGATAGATACTCCAATCTCCGCTGTGGATTTTTGCAGCTCCTTCAGGGTTATCGTTAGTCTCTTTGTTGCCTCTCTGGTTAATGCCCTCCTTGCCAGGTCCGTGAGTTTTGGTGGGCGGCCCTCTCTTGGCAGGTTTGTTGTGGTGCCATATTCTTTCCATTTTTTAATAATTCACCCACGTTTCTGATATTTTTTTATAACCCAACCTTGATCTGTACTTCTCTCTAACTTTGTCCCTGACCTGTTTGGAGAGCTCCTTGGTCTTCATGGTGCCGCTTGCTTGGTGGTGCCCCTTGCTTAGTGGTGTTACAGACTCTGGGGCCTTTCAGAACAGGTGTATATATACTGAGATCATGTGACAGATCATGTGACACTTAGATTGCACACAGGTGGACTTTATTTAACTAATTATGTGACTTCTGAAGGTAATTGGTTGCAACAGATCTTATTTAGGGGCTTCATAGCAAAGGGGGTGAATACATATGCACGCACCACTTTTCCGTTATTTATTTTTTAATTTTTTTTGAAACAAGTTATTTATTTAATTTCACTTCACCAATTTGGACTATTTTGTGTATGTCCATTACATGAAATCCAAATAAAAATCAATTTAAATTATAGGTTGTAATGCAACAAAATAGGAAAAAAGCCAATGGGGATGAATACTTTTGCAAGGCACTGTGGTCTTGTGTTTTTCTCCATACCCTAGTCCTCCCATCAGCGTGATACGGCAGGAACAGGGATTCATCAGACCTGGCAATGTTTTTCCAATTCTCCAATGTCTAGTGTTTTCGTTCCTTAGCACAATACAGCCGCAGTTTCTTGTTTTTTGTTGAAAGAAGTGGAAATCTGTAAGGTCCTCGGCTGCAATACCCCATTCGTGTCAAGGTATGATGAGTTGTGCATTCTTTTATGGGTCTTTGGGCACCAATGTTGTACTGGACTGTCAGTTGACTAACTGTAGCCCGTCTGTTGTTCTGCACAATTCGTGTCAGCCTCATTTGTCTTATTTCATCAATTACCCGTTTTCGACCACTGGCCTGCCGTTGGCTGGAAGTCCTTTGGGTGGTGGACCATTTTTGACACAGACGGGACATTGTTGAATGTGAAAAACCCAGCAGCGTTGCAGTTCTTGACAAACTCTATCCAGTGCGCCTGGCAGCTACTACCATACCCTGTTCAAAGGCACTTACAGTGCATTCGGAAAGTATTCAGACCCCTTGACTTTTTCCACATTTTGTTACGTTACAGCCTTATTCTAAAATTGATTAAAATGTTTTTTTCCCCCCTCATCAATCTACACACAATACCCCATAATGACCATGAAAAAACTGGTTTTAAGACATTTTTGCAAATGTATATATATATTTAAAAAATTATATATCACATTTACATAAGTATTCAGACCCTTTACTCAGTAATTTGTTGAAGCACCTTTGGCAGCGATTAAGCCTTGAGTCTTCTTGGGTATGACGCTACAAGGTTGGCGTCCTGCATTTGCTTAGTTTCTCCCATTCTTCTCTGCCGATCCTCTCAAGCTCTGTCAGGTTGGATGGGGAGCGTCGCTGCACAGCTATTTTCAGGTCTCTCCAGAGATGTTCGATTGGGTTCAAGTCCGGGCCCTGGCTGGGACACTCAAGGACATTCAGAGACTTGTCCCAAAGCCACTCCTGCATTGTCTTGGCTGTGTGCTTAGGGTCGTTGTCCTGTTGGAAGGTGAACCTTCAACCCAGTCTGAGGTCCTGAGCGATCTGGAGCAGGTTTTCATCAAGGATATCTCTGTACTTCGCTCCGTTCATCTTTCCCTCGATCCTGACTAGTCTCCCAGTCCCTGCCGCTGAAAAACATCCTCACAGCATGATGCTGCCACCACCATGCTTCACCGTAGGGATGGTGCCAGGTTTCCTCCAGACGTGACGCTTGGCATTCAGGCCAAGGAGTTCAATCTTGGTTTCATCAGACCAGAGAATCTTGTTTCTCATGGTCTGAGAGTCATTTAGATGCCTTTTGGCAAACTCCAAGCAGGCTGTCATGTGCTTTTACTGATGAGTGGCTTCCGTCTGGCCACTCTCCCATAAATGCCTGATTGGTGGAGTGCTGTAGAGATGGTTGTCCTTCTGGAAGGTTCTCCCATCCCACAGAAGAACTCTGGAGCTCTGCCAGAGTGACCATTGGGTTCATGGTCACCTCCCTTCTCCCCCGATTGCTCAGTTTGGCCGGGTGGACAGTTTTAGGAAGAGTCTTGGTGGTTCCAAACTTCTTCCATTTAAGAATGATGGAGTCCACTGTGTTCTTGATGGAGGCCGCTGTGTTCTTGCTGCAGACATTTTTTGGTACCCTTCCCCAGATCTGTGCC